CCCCCCCCCGCCGCCCATCATACGCGCCTTACACGAAGAGTATCGGTCTACGCAAGGTACTCACCAGAAGGACACTCACAAACGACAAAACCCAGGTAAGCAAACGCAAAAGAAAAGAGTGCGAAACAGGACACCAAAGAGAAAGAAAAGAAAAGGAGGCAGTAAGGTGTCCACAGTAACGAACGCTGATCATTGCTAAAATACGTTCGCAGGAAACAACCTAGCACCATTGCCCCAACTTCAGACCTCAACAGTTTCAGCGACAAAGGCGAGACTACCCTCCTCTTGTGTAAAAAAGGCATACATGATAAAGGCAATAAATGACCGCCGCAACGCGCCAGCTCCCCCCAGAAACCCTTGCGTTAAATTTAGTCTTGTCTCTAGAGTTTTATTTTGGGGGAATTAAAGTAAATACAGGGCATACCGAGTCGGTGGCACAGTGGGTTAAAGCACTGAGCTGCTGAGCTGTTGATCGAAAGGTCGCAGGTTCGATTCCGGGGAGCGGCGTGAGCTTCCGCTGTCAGCCCTAGCTTCTGCCAACCTAGCAGTTCGAAAACATGCAAATGTGAGTAGATCAATAGGTACCGCTCCGGCGAGAAGGTAACGGCGCTCCATGCAGTCATGCCGGCCACATGACCTTGGAGGTGTCTATGGACAACGCTGGCTCTTTGGCTTAGAAATGGAGATGAGCACCACAACCCAGAGTCAGACATGGCTGGACTTAATGTCAGGGGACTACCTTTACCTTTTTACAGGGCATACCGATGGTCACTGGGAAAATAGCCGGACACATATAGTTTTCTCTTCATCTTCCCGGTGAGCCACCATAGTCGTCATAAGTCAGAAATGACTTCAAGGTGCATAGCAACAAAAATAATAATACAAAATTAGATCCATTTTGTAGGGTCACACACTAAAAATTCTGCTTGTCCTGGTGTCTAAAATTTTGCCAGAAGTGCTTAGGCAGATGGCCATCCATCAGAAAGGAATAATGTCTGTGCTCTATGCCAGGTGGAGGAACGTGACTGGCGCATGACTTTCCTGCCTCAGTTTGAGGCCTGTGTGCAGGCTGGAACCTTCAGCTTCATGTGCAGCTATAACAGGTACGTGTGTCCATATAAGATGGCAGAGCGTCTTTAGTAGTCTAGAAAACCTGTTTCAGTGCATACTTGGTCAAGCCCAATTTGTTTTTGTTTTGAGTACAGAAATCTAGAAACCAGTACATGCAGTTTTTCTCCCCACATCTGACAAAATAGGAATTTTCTGGGTCTCTCCCCTCCGCCCCCAAGCATTTTTATGGTATCCTTCTGCTAGAATTTTCCCTAGTCCCTGGAGGACTAAGTAAATTCCTGCAAATGTTATCTCTTTAGGACTTTTCTAGGTTCTCCATTACAACTTTAACTTCTAGATGAAGTAGTTCATTTCAGTAGGGATTGCTATTATCCACTGTTTACATCAGTGGTTCCCAACCCTTTTCTAAGTCAACGACTTAAATCTAGAAATAGTTTTCTAAGATCTACAGAAACACTCGCTGGAACACCTCAGCAAGCGAGAGTCCAAAAGTGGCAGGCTCAAACCCAGAACCTCAACCAATGGCTGATACCAAATGAGAGACTCCCCCCTGGGCACAGAAAGGACTGGACAACTTGGAAGGCGCTGAACAGACTGCGCTCTGGCACCACAAGATGCAGAGGCAACCTTCAGAAATGGGGCTACAAAGTGGAATCCACGACATGCGAGTGTGAAGAAGAGCAAACCACTGACCACCTGCTGCAATGCAACTGATCCCTGCCACATGCACAATGGAGGACCTTCTTGCAGCAACACCAGAAGCACTCCAAGTGGCCAGATACTGGTCAAAGGACATTTAATCAACTACCAAACTCACAATTTTGTATTTTGTCTGCTTTTTTTTTTTTTATTTTGTATTTTGTCTGTTTGTTTGTTTGCTTTGTTCTGTTAGAAATGTAATATAATTGACTGGTTGCTGATGACTCGATAAATAAATATAAATAAATAACAATCAAAGCCCTCACAATAGAGAGCCATGCAGTTCAAAAACTTCCAGCAGAGACCACTCTCCAACATTAGTACCAAAAGGGTTACGAATCAGTTTTGGTCAACTTTAGATTCGGTTTGGTTATTTGGGGTGCTGTTTCAGAAAACTGCATTGGATAGACCACATCAGCTCTAGTTTCTGATACAGAACATATGCCATCCAGGAGTCGCCATCTGCTCGCCCACAGAAAACCATATTTAGTCTAGATCCGTGGACCTTATTTTAGGTCTCATGGCCCACAGGTTAAGAACCACTAGTTTACATGGTAAATTCAGTAATGCATCCCCTGCAGACATTGTTCAGAATGCAATCATAGTCCAAGACATTTAGTTGACACTAACCTATGGATGCAAGAGCTGGATCATAGGGAAAGCTGAGTGAAGGAAGATAGACACTTTTGAACTGTGGTGTTGGAGGAAAATTATGAGAGTGCCTTGGACTGCAAGAAAATCAAACCAGTCCATAGTCCAGGAAGTAAAGCTCAACTGCTCACTGGAGGGGAGGATATTAGAGGCAAAGATGCAGGTGAAACGTCAGGAGAAATGCCTCTAGAACATGGCCCTATAGCCCGAAAAAACCCACAAGAACCTAGTGATTTCAGCCATGAAAGCCTTCGACAATACAAAGATGAAGTACTTCGGTCACATAATGAGGAGACAGGAAAGCTTGGAGAAGAGAATGATGCTGGGGAAACTGGAAGGAAAAAGGAACAGGGGCCAACCAAGGGCAAGATGGATGGATGGTATCCTTGAAGTGACTGGCTCGACTTTGAAGGAGCTGGGGGTGGCGACGGCTAACAGGGAGTTCTGGCGTGGGATGGTCCATGAGGTCATGAAGAGTCGGAAGCAACTGAATGAATAAATAACAACAAAAATTTGGGGCAGTCTGTATAGGCAACAAACATTTGAAGTTTGCAGGGATCCTTGCTGAATGATGCTTACATGTGAGTAGTCAACACAGGAAGAACATGGCATAGCTAATTAGTGCATGGCTCAGCAGTGTCAATAAAGTATTGACTCCACTCCTGGTTTCCATCTAGGGTTTAAGGGAGCTTTCCAAGGTGCTGAACACCATTCTGAAATATATCTAGCACCTTGGATAGCTCCTAGAAACCTATGGCGCCCCTACACTGCAAAGTTAACATTTGATATAACTTTAACTGCTGTAGCTCATGTGAGTGACAGTTTTACAAAGTCTTTAACCTCTCCGCCTACCTCTTTCATTCCTGGCAGGATTAATGGGGTACCTGCCTGTGCCAACAAGAAGCTGCTGACGGACATCTTGCGTGGTGAATGGGGCTTCCAGGGCTACGTGGTGAGTGATGAAGGAGCCATAGAGTTGATTATGGTTGGGCACCACTTCACTCAGAGCTTTCTGGAGACTGCGATTGGTAAGTAGTTCAGAGCAGAGAGTGTGCTTCTCAGCCTGTGTTTAGGTTTGCCCATAACCATTGAGTCATTGAGGCTCTTTTTGGTGTAACTTTCAAGATAGCCCAAGCAGAACATGTCTGTTTCCCCCTCCTCTTAAGCTACCAGGGACCATCTTCAAGCCACATTTTCAGCATAGGTTCATGTTTATGAAGTTTTGCACTATTGCCATGTTAAATTTTGCCAAGAGTTACCACCCAAGGTTAGTAAGTGAGTAACCAGAATAGACAAGAAGCCATATGAGGCATGATTGAAGAGAGAATGTGAGAATGGGAAGTAAGTAAAATGGGATTGGGAAGCCATCTAACAGGTCTTTCTTACTATGAGAGAGGTCAGTTTAACCAATTTGAGGCACAAATTCTAGATAGCATGTTGTCACATTACACTCTGCCCTCCACATTTGCGGATTTAACTTTAGTGGATTTGATTATTCACAGGTTTTCCAATTCTGCCTCAAAGTGCTGTGAATTCTACCAGGGGACGTTGTCAATCTAGTGCAAATATATTTTACCACTATGTTATGGCTTGCCGCAAATAGATTATTAGATTGTACCTTATGGAAAAGCTATAGCTCAGTGAAATTTTCAAGCAACCTCTTGTTTTGGTTGCCACAATTTCTTTTCTTTTCTTAATGCAGCTTCTGTGAATGCTGGGTGCAACCTGGAACTTGCGTATTTGATGAAAGCTAATGTGTTCACTTACATAGGGGAAGCTGTTGCCAAGGGAAACATCTCTTTAGAGGTGAGTGATCCTTCCATAGGGAAAGATGGGGCAAAGCCGTCATGGACAAATCTAGGATATTTGGCATCTAGGGATGGACTGCCGTTTGTCACCCAATTACTGCAGACGAGATGTGCCCACATGTATAAATATTATTATTATTATTATTATTATTATTATTATTATTATTATTATCTTTATTTATACCCCGCAAAATCTCCCAAAGGACTCGATGCGGCTTACAATGGCCAAGGCCGCCAACAAACAACAACATACAAATATAACAGTAAAACTCATAAGCAAATAATAAAACATCAAGCAAAACAATAAAACTCTAAAAACAATGACACCATGACACATTTAAAAACCTAAAGGCCGGGCCAAGTGTAATGGATAAAATTTAAAAGTGCTGAACTTGACAGGAGGTATGTAGAGGTTTTTGGAGGTAGGTGCAATGTGTGGACAATCCTAGTCTCTAATAAAGTGCATTTGGGACATGATGCTGGGAGTTTCCTATTCTGGAAAGGCACACTGGAACAGCCAGGTCTTCAGGCTCTTCCTAAAGACTGCCAACGTTGGGGCTTGTCTGATGTCCTTGGGGAGAGAGTTCCAGAGTCGGGGGGCTACCACAGAGAAGGCCCTGTCCCTCGTCCCCACCAAATGCGCTTGCGACGCAGGTGGGATCGTGAGCAGGGCCTCTCCAGATGAATGGATGGTCCCTTCAGGAAGGCAAAATTCCAGCGAGCTTAAAACAAGCTATAATAAAACCGCTGTTGAAGAAACCATCACTAGATCCCACTAAATTTGACAACTTTCGGCCGGTTTCCAATCTCCCTTTTTTGGGCAAAGTCCTGGAACGCGTGGTGGCCTCACAACTCCAGGTATTCTTGAGAGACACGGATTATCTGGATCCGGCACAGTCTGGTTTCAGACCGGGACATGGTACCGAGACGGTCTTGGTCGCCTTAGTGGATGATCTGCGCCGGGAGCTAGACAGGGGGAGTATGTCCCTGTTGGTGCTCCTGGACCTCTCAGCGGCCTTCGATACCGTCGACCACGGTATCCTTCTGGGGCGCCTTGCGGAAATGGGTCTTGGGGGCACTGTTCTACAGTGGCTCGGTCATTTCTGGAGGGTCGCACCCAGAAGGTGTTATTGGGGGACACCTGTTCAACACCACAGCCTTTGACTTGTGGGGTTCCACAGGGCTCTATACTGTCCCCCATGCTGTTTAACATCTACATGAAGCCGCTGGGTGAGATCATCCGGAGTTTCGGGGTGCGGTGTCATCTGTACGCAGATGATGTCCAACTCTGTCACTCCTTCCCACCTGCTACTAAGGAGGCTGTCGAGGTCCTGAACCAGTGCTTGGCCGCTGTGACGGTCTGGATGGGGGCGAACAAATTGAAATTGAATCCAGACAAGACAGAGGTACTCCTGGTCAGTCGTAAGGCCGAACAGGGTATAGGGTTACAGCCTGTGCTGGATGGGGGTTGCACTCCCCTTGAAGGCGCAGGTTCGCAGCTTGGGTGTGACCCTGGATTCATCGTTGAGCCTGGATCCCCAGGTTTCAGCGGTGACCAGGGGAGCATTTGCACAGCTTAGGCTTGTGCGCCAGCTGCGCCCGTACCTTGGGAAGTCTGACTTGGCCACGGTGGTACACGCTCTGGTCACATCCCGCCTTGACTACTGCAATGCTCTCTACGTGGGGCTGCCCTTGAAGACGGCCCGGAAGCTCCAGCTAGTCCAGCGCGCGGCAGCCATGTTACTAACAGGAGGGACGCAGGGAGCATACAACGCCCTTGTTGTACCAGCTCCATTGGCTGCTGATCTGCTACCGGGCTCAATTCAAGGTGCTGGCGTTGGCCTTTAAAGCCCTGAACGGTTCCAGCCCAAGATACCTGTCTGACCGCATCTCGGCCTATGAGCCCACGAGGACTTTGAGATCGTCCGGGGAGGCCCTTCTCTCGATCCCGCCTGCCTCACAGGCACGCCTGGCGGGGACGAGAGATAGGGCCTTCTCGGTGGTGGCCCCCCGGCTGTGGAACACCCTCCCTGTGGACATCAGACAGGCGCCCTCCCTTATCATTCCGCAAGAGGCTAAAGACGTGGTTGTTTGAGAAGGCGTTTGAGTAAATGCTGCAACAATTGGCAATGACGATTGGAACGGAACATGGATAACGAGATTTGGATTGTGATTCAATGATGAGACGTCGCGAATGATTTAGTGTAATTGTATTATTGATAGTGATGTTGTTTATTGTTGTTGTGATATTGCTTATGTTGTAAATTGTACACTGTTTTTATATGTTGTACACCGCCGTGAGTCGCCCCTAGGGCTGAGAACGGCGGTCTACAAGTGCAGTAAATAAATAAATAAATAAATAAATAAATAAATAAATTGAAGGGAACGTGTGGGTTCATATATGGAGATGCGGTCATGCAGGTAGGCGGGTCCCAAACTGTTTAGGGCTTTGTAGGTGAGCACCTGCACCTTGAATTGGGACCGGAAGATGAACGGCAGCCAATGGAGCTCCTTAAACAGGAGGGTTGACCTCTCTCTGTAAGGAGCACCAGTTAACATCCTGGCCGCCCGTTGGACCAGTTGGAATTTCCGAGCCGTTTTCAGGGGCAGCCCCACATAGAGCGCATTACAGTAGTCCAATCTAGAGGTGACCAAGGCATGGACCACCCCGGCCAGATCAGCCTTTTACGAGGTATGGTCGCAGTTAATGGAGATGTAGAGATAGGTACAGTTTCCTTGCGGGGGGGGGGGGGGATCAAACAATGGCTCTAACCCAGTGGTTCCCAACCTTTTTTTGACCATGGACCACTATGGTTTTTTTATTTGTTAAAAAACAAAAAAACAAAAAAGCAAAAAAAAAAACTCAAGGACTCAAAGCTGCGTACATGGCTAACATAGCAAAATAACACAAAAAATCAACAAAACATCATAAGCCACAGAAAACAAGACACGATACATATAAAAAAAACAAATGAAAATTAACAAAAACAAAAAAAAAAAAAAACAACACAAGCTCAAAAATACTCATACACCAAAAACAAAAAAAAAAAGCACAAAAAAACTCAAAAATAACAAACTTAGAAACAAAGCAAATACAAAATTAAAGAAAAAAAAACAAAAACAAGTTCAAGAATAATAAATTGTGTTAATCTAAAAATAAACTTCAATCAAAACATTTAACATAGTCATTAAACTTAATAGTAACACGAATTAAGACTACTATTATAATATTAAAAATAAAAAATTAGAGAAAATTAAATTTGGTTTGCATCAATGTGATTTTTGAGCTTGCATCTTCTTTACAAGTTGGGTAATACTGGGACTAATACTATTGCTCAAGGAAGCAGGAAGGTGGGAGAAAGGAAGGGGGAGGGAGGGAGGGAAGGAAGGACCAAGGAAGGAGGGAGAGAAGTAAGAAGGGCTCGAGGGAGAGAAGGTAAAAAGGAAGGATGCAAGGGAGGAAGGAGGGAGAGGAGAAAGGAAGGAAGAAAAGAAGGAAGGAGGGAAGCAAGGAGGGAGACAAGGAAGAAAGGGAAGAAACTTCAGAGGATAAAGCTGAAGCAATGTGTTCAAATTGTAAGAGAGGGGATTCTGGCGAAACAGTTATTGTTGGTGTTTAGTAGTGAGAGAGACAGCTTCAAAAAGTGGTGGGATTTCTTTTATTAGAGAATTCTAAGGGAGATGCACACTAACAACGAGAACCAATGTCATGTTGTGTTTTGAGTGTTGGGCTACATCTCTGAAGACCAGGATTAGTTCCCCTCTTGGCAATAGGAACCCACTAGTTGACCTTGGGTGAATTAAACACTCCCAGAAGACTCCATAATAATTGCTGGTTTTCTTTCATCTTGGGAATATTCCAGGGAGAATATAATCAAGCCAAGTTATAGGTGAAAACTCAAAAATCGGTTTTCTTGTTTATTTTTATCATGTCATCAGCAACCAGACATTTGTATTACATTTTTAACAAAAACAAACAAACAGACAAAACACAGAATTTGCAAGCTTGGTAGTTGATTAAATGTCCTTTGACCAGTATCTGGCCACTTGGAGTGCCTCTCGTGTTGCCGCAAGGAGGTCCTCCATTGTGCATGTGGCAGGGCTCAGGTTGCATTGCAGCAGGTGGTCTGTAGTTTGCTCTTCTCCACACTCGCATGTCGTGGATTCCACTTTGTAGCCCCATTTCTGAAGGTTGGCTCTGCATCTCGTGGTGCCAGAGCGCAGTCTGTTCAGTGCCTTCCAAGTCGCCCAGTCTTCTGTGTGCCCAGGGGAGTCTCTCATTTGGTATCAGCCATTGATTGAGGTTCTGGGTTTGTGCCTGCCACTTTTGGACTCTCGCTTGCTGAGGTGTTCCAGCGAGTGTCTCTGTAGATCTTAGAAAACTATTTCTTGATTTAAGTCGTTGACGTGCTGGCTGATACCCAAACAGGGGATGAGCTGGAGATGTCACTGCCTTGGTCCTTTCACTATTGGCTGCTACTTCCCGGGATGTCAGGTGGTGCAATACCGGCTAAGCAGTGTAATTTCTCCAGTGGTGTAGGGCGCAGACACCCCGTGATGATGTGGCATGTCTCATTAAGAGCCACATCCACTGTTTTAGCGTGGTGAGATGTGTTCCACACTGGGCATGCATACTCAGCAGCAGAGTAGCATAGCGCAAGGGCAGATGTCTTCACTGTATCTGGTTCTGATCCCCAGGTTGTGCCAGTCAGCTTTCGTATGATATTGTTTCTAGCACCCACTTTTTGCTTGATGTTCAGGCAGTGCTTCTTGTAGGTGAGAGCACGGTCCAGAGTGACTCCCAGGTATTTGGGTGTGCTGCAATGCTCCAGTGGGATTCCTTCCCAGGTGATCCTCAGAGCTCGGGATGCTTCTCTGTTCTTGAGATGAAAGGCACATGTCTGTGTTTTAGATGGATTAGGGATCAGTTGGTTTTCCCTGTAATAGGCAGTAAGAGCACCTAGAACTTCGGAGAGCTTCTGTTCAACCATCTCAAAGCTCCCTGCTTGAGCAGTAATGGCACGATCATCAGCATAGATGAAGCTCTCTGTCCCTTCTGGCAGTGGCTGGTCATTTGTGTAGATGTTGAACATGGATGGAGCAAGCACACTCCCCTGAGGCAGGCCGTTCTTCTGTTTCCGCCATCTGCTTCTCTGGCCCTGGAACTCAACAAAAAAGCTCCTGTTTTGTAGCAGGTTTCCTATGAGGCGGGTGAGGTGGTAGTCCTTTGTGATATTATACATTTTTCTCAGGAGGAGGCGGTGGTTTATGGTATCATAAGCCGTGGACAGGTCTATGAAGACAGCTCCTGTGATCTGCTGCCTTTCAAAGGTTTTCTTGTTCAACAGTATGAGTGTTCTCAGAACAGAAATTGAAGGATAATTCCTTGATGTTTTTGTGTGATGTAAACACACTCTTATGTTTGCATATTTGTATATTTTTAATTGTATGGTGATGCTTTTGTGTCCAACTGTTTTGAGTCTCCTGCAGGAGAGATAAAGCAGGGCATAATAATAATATAATAATAATAATAATAATAATAATAATAATAATAATAATAATAATAATAATTCAGCAGCCTTATCAAGAGTCAAAGTCAACAGGTTTACTCCAGATATTGATGCCAGCTGCGCCAAATGGCATCAGGAGGAATGTGGGAATTCTGAGGCCTCCCATTTCAGTTTCCTCATCACATGGATGCTACAACAATTGACTCTGCATTTTGTCTCTCCGCAGACGGTTAAGGCCCGCGTCCGCCCATTGTTCCGCACCCGCATGCGCCTGGGTGAGTTCGACCCACCGGCCATGAACCCCTACAATGCTCTGGGACTTGGTGATGTGGCGACTGAGGCTCATCGTCAGCTGGCTCTCTGTGCTGCCGTTCAGTCCTTTGTCCTGCTAAAAAACCAGCAAGGAATCCTGCCTCTTAAGGCCCAAGATGTATCAGACAAGACATTTGCAGTAAGTGAAATATCACAACACTCCCTCGTTCACTCCTGATATGTTGTGTGTGTATATCTCAGCATTGGAAGATTTACCATGTGTGTTAATGTAGTGGGTCCAAGAGTTAAGGTAGCATCTCTTTGGTAAAACACATCCAATCTGATTTCCATATCCATGGGAAATATGTTGCTGAACTTACTGTGGAAACAAGAAACTGCATAGTAGTGAACTCTATTGTAATTAACAACTTCCATTAGAAGTTACCATAGAGTCACATTGGAGGATCCAGAAAATTCCTGGAAGGCAACTTTATAGTAACTATTCAGAACCTAAAGATATAGCATGCCAAGTATCGGTCAGAAAATCAATAATGGGTGAGGAATGTGCATGATACTCTCAAGAGCAGTGGTTCTCAACCTGGGGTTCCCAGATGTTTTTGGCCTTCAACCCCCAGAAATCCTAACAGCTGGTAAACTGGCTGGGATTTCTGGGAGTTGTAGGCCAAAAACATCTGGGGACCCCAGGTTGAGGACCACTGCTCAAGAGCATTTGGATACGGATAAGTCCTTCTAGCAGCAAATGGTTCACTGATGTAATACATAAGGACTGCTCCTCATTGTTGGGTGCAGTGTGGTGGAGGCTCCTTCCTTTGGAAGCTTTTAAACAGAGGCTGGATGGCCATCTGTCAGGGGTGATTTGAATGCAATATTCCTGCTTCTTGGCAGGGGGTTGGACTGGATGGCCCATGGGTCTCTTCCAACTCTTTGATTCTATGATTCTATGATTCATAACAAAGGAGCAGCCATAATTTTGACACCAGTTTAAAGAGCAGTCTGATCTAAAGTATGTTTTTATTTATTATTTATTTATTTATTTATTTAGAACTTTTATATCCCGTTCTTCTCTACCTCTGTGGGGGGACTCAGAACAGCTAACAACAGCAAAAACAATGCAATACAATAAATAACATAATAAAACAACATACAATAAATAAGTTCTAAAATACATATAAAACAATTCATCACGTTAAAAACATCATCCAACTCAATCCAAACGTTGTGGTCCAATAACTCTTAGTCTTTACCGGTTCAATCCATCGATCTGCGAGTGCCTGATTCCAAAGCCAGGATTTCAGTTTCTTCCTGAAGGTCAGGAGGGAGGGGGCAGACCTAACCTCATTGGGGAGAGAGTTCCATAGCCAGGGGGCCACCACAGAGAAGGCCCTGTCTCTCATACATAGAATCATAGAGTTGGAAGAGACCTCATGAGCCATCCAGTCCAACCCCTCTGCCAAGAAGCAGGAATATTGCATTCAAAGCACCCCTGACAGATGGCCATCTAGCCTCTGTTTAAAAACCTCCAAAGGAGGAGCCTCCACCACACTCCGGGCAGAGAGTTCCACTGCTGAACGGCTCTCACAGTCAGGAAGTTCTTCCTAA